ACACACACACACACACACACACACACACACACACACACACACACACAGACACACCATTGTGGGTCTCCTGATTCACCATAACATTGCCTTGCCCTCACACACCATTACTTGTGTCAGAGGTTTAGTGCTTTGTAGTGTTTGTTTATTGTGCTGATCCTGGGACACCGTCTCTGAATTAATTATTTTCCTGACATGAAAAAGTAGAATTCAACATCTACCCTCCTTCTTTTATACATCAGGGGGGAAAACTGTGACATGACTGTCGAAGGATGCAGGAGGGAGCTGGAATGAGTGTGAAAGGTAAAGAAACATGTGGGATGCTGACAGAAATAAAAGCTGCATAGGTGTGCAGGTGGGTCAGTTCCACTCTGGAGCCAATAGATGATTATTAGAGGTTAGTGGATGTTATTAGTTGGCGGTAGACCAGTTCCAGCGTTCAGTTCATTGCATAATTGGTCCCAGAAGTTTGCATTCACAGCTGTTGTTGCTTGTTGTGGGAGCATGCGAGTGTGAGAGGTGGAGGCTGCCAGACTTGAGATGATTACAAAGGGATCGTGTGCCCATGTTTATGTGCGTGAATGTGTGAGAGACAGTGATTGATAGAGAAAGGTTGCTTGTTTACTGAATACTTGCACTCTTCTTGTAAGGCCAAATTAGTTTTTTGAACACTGATAAGTTACTTGAGATCTGTCTTACTGACTTAAACTCTCCTTTCAAATAAAATCTTATAACAGAAACCGTGTTGAAAACCCTTAAATTAGTTCTCATTAAGATAATTAAATAACCATAGATAACGAATTACCCTGCAACTTGTGAGGATTCTTTAACCAACATTATATTGCAAAAGACAAACAATTCTCATTGAAAACAAGGCACTGACAGATTTCTCCTTTTTTTAATACCCAACAATTTTCTGTGATAGAACAGAAATAAGCCAGGCTAGTTCAATTATTTAAATCATTTTTCATTTTGGAAGAAAAAAAGTGTTCAGTTCATATCACATTTTTTGCTTTCGCTGGCAAATAAAAAATAAGTTGACCACAGAAAAGTAGGAATATCTTGAAGTGGTTTCTGCCACGCAGAGCTTAATTATATCTTACTGACTTAACAAGCTGCTCTAATGAGTGGAAGATTCTTGGTTTCAAAGAAAAAGAAAAAAAGTTCAAAACTGTCCATCTCACAAGATATTTTTGATACTGTTTTTTTTCTTTTTTTTTGCCATTCCTTTGAGAGCTGAGATTGAGTGATGCTGCCAGTTGTTTTTCAGCAAGTTTGCAATAACAAACCAAATTTCATGAACTTAAAGGCTGTGGTCCTGTTAATATTATGATTTGTTCAAGATTTACACTCTAATATTTTCCTTGTCATTTAGTGTCCAGCGATGGACAATTAAGATGTTTGACATCAGCTATCCAACATTGAAACAGTAAATAGGCACAAAATTGCATGGATACGATTATAACAACGTTGTCTGCATGGGTTTTGTAACTGCAGTTCTGGTAGTGTACTTTTTTTTTTTAAGCTATTGCACAATTCGGTGTAAATTAAAAACCAAATGGTAAAATGATGACCAAAGTTATAATTAATGGGATAAGGGATTAAATGCTGAACCTCTAATATGGTGTTATAAAATAGTCCACCATGTAATCTTTTGGTAAGATATGTTGAGTATAATTACAGCATACATAAATGTTTCATAGTGACATACACTAAACTGTTTGGTATGAAGTTGTGAGCTGTCTCAGTGATGGATATTTTTACTTTTTTTTTAGTCCTATGTTTTCTATCTGTTAGTCTTAAAACAACACACTCCTTGACACATCAAGGTGCTTCCCCAGAGAACAGCTGGAGTGATTACTTTCTATAGGTCGGACTGGGCTAGTGTAAACCTTTCCCATTTAAGTTGTGCAGATGTGGTTTGTGGGAACCAGCACACTATGTTTTGGGCTGCTTCCTCTGTATGTAGCATCTGGGCAACCGGTTTAAGGGATAATGTGTGTTTATACTTTATTGTGTGTGTGGGAGAGAGATTGACCTGAGGTATGTGTTGCTGTGTAGCAGAAAAATGACAGGAATGTTATCATTTCCCACAGCATATCGATGGAGGTTATGCTATCCTTATTTCTGTTTTTTTATTGCTTGTCCCCCTTTCTTTTTCATCTTATTTATTCACCCATGAGGAGATCAACAGCTTAATATTGAGATAGTTTATAAGAGAAGGACTTTCAGCAGCAAGGCCTTGTGGGAACCTGGAGACTGTGTGAACTAAGGCAAAGGTAATGGGTCATCAGGTCGTTTGCCCTCCATGTCTTTTCATAGTCTTCTCTCTCTTTTTCCCCCCATGTGTATTCACCTTACATTCTTGGTAATTTTATGCCCAATCATGCACACATGTTGCTACCACAAAACAAAATGAAACCATATGTTTCCTGATGATCAACATGTGAACCCTGCCTCAGTGAGAGCACATGCTGCTACTTTGAGAAACCACTCTGGGAAAGTCCTTCCTCAAACGATCTGCGCCGTCCCTCTGCTGCCAAAGAACACA